AATATACTATACTCCAAAATACATCATCAATGGGAGTATGTCTTAATAATCTGACATGTTAAATACATATAATTCATATTCAATGTACTTGACTTTATTTCACTATAACTTAGGATTTTCAAATTTGATATAATATTATTCATAGCTTGCTCTGAAGATTTGTACTCTTGTCATTGTTGTAGGTTTTTTATTTACACATCCATGTCTTGTCTTGATTTCTAAACTTTTGTTTTACTATAATTAGTTTATCTTAAAGCAGATAATTATCACATTTAGTGTATATGAATATGTCATATTTAGCTTTCCAATAATATATAGTTTTTATTTTGTATCGTTTAACACTTTCAAATTTTGTTTGTAAATTGTGTTTGAATTTCAACAATTTAATTTTTCTTTTCATTTATTTGATAAATTTACTAATTTGTGAAGTAATTCTCAACAAATTCATGTTATTTTTCATAAAAATATAACTATTCCGATGTTTTGATTCTTCCACATGTCAAAAATTCATTTAGAGCTTTAATTTAGTGTACAAAAACAATAAAAAGAACAAAAAAACTTTTTTGAACATATTAACATTTTTAAAACAACAAAAAAATGGTATTTATAAAAGTAGCAAAAAAAATTTGAAATTTCATAAATGAAGCTCTTTTGTTTTGCCTTGAACACAACCGCAACAAAAAAGTTGCTTAGCTTTGAAAGATAATTTGTAAAGATAAAGTGTCAAACATCATCTTTTGAAATCTTAAAATTTCAAAGAAGAAACTTTGTCATTCACATGAATATTCCATGCTTGAAAGTAAAATAATATGTTAAATTTTTTATTTGAAACATATATTTTTTACTATAAATACTAAAATATATTTGAGTATATTTTTTTGACACAATACGATCACTATGAAGATGATTTACAGCAAAAAAAATTTCTATATATAATGATGTTTACTTTTGATAATGAATGTACTAGTTTGAAATGTGTATTTTAAAATTTAAAAGAACTGAATTCAAGTTTGTTTTGACAAGTAAGATGAATCAAAACTATATTTAATTGAATGAAATTAGTAGTAAGAGGAAATTGAATTTTACGAATTTGTTAGTTTCTTTTAATCATCAAAATGCATTCCATCTTGCAACAAATCGCCTTATGAATAATGTAATGAAGCATATTTACATCAGATTTCACATCCTCGTGCTATAAAACAAGTAATGAAAAATTCAAATTGAATTTTAACAGCTACAAGATAATAATGTCTTGAAAACTATGAAATGTTTGTATGGATTGAAGAGTGAACAAAATCTCAAAACAATCTTTCTATACAAAACTCCATGTTAGTCAATATTTTGTAAGTATAAATGGAACTTCAATCGTAGTACAGTATTCAATTACAAGAAAATGCATGTTTGAAAATGCAAAATGATTTGACATTGCTTGTATACCTCGTGACTATGACAAGGTTGACTGTCACTAGAAAAATGTTAACAAATTCAAATATAGAATATTTAATTTTAAATCTTTTAAATGGTTGTACAAGCTCCATTCATTTTAGGTATTTTGATATTACAACAATTTAAGCTCTTGCATTGAGCACAAAATTCTATATAATGTTTTATAAATAGTTATACTTTATTGATATTGCTTAAGGTGCTCACATTTTTTTAAAATAACAAATTATAAACATGATATTACTCCATCATATTATTGCAAAAATTTACTTGTATATAATTAAATAGTTTACAAAAAATCAAGTGTCAAATGCTATACGAGTTTTGATCAAGTATTGATATCAATTATAGAGATTTATACAATTTTAATACATAAACAAAGTGAAAGATTGTTAATAATGAAATTATGTCTTTATAGATTTTGACAACTATTAGTTAAACTAATATGCACTTTATGCTATGACAGCGATAATCAAAACTTTAAATAATATAAATGAAATTTTATTAGCAAATCTTGCAATGTTACCTCATAGTTCAAATTTATGAATCATGTAATTTGTTTGTAAACTGTATTCAAGGATTTTTTTTGAAAATTGTGCAACTAGTTGACTTCAACACTAAATAGGTTACAAAACATACTAAAATATCATTCATAAGAGTCAAAATGTATCAAAATTTTTTATTTCATTTTTGATTGTAAATTAAAAAACTTGATTGAATATTAAACAATATCAAAATTTGACAAAATATTAAATTTTGTCAAATTTTAAGTCTAAGACAAATTTGAAAATTTTTTTGGTTTTTCAAATTTATATTTTTTGTGATTTGATATTTTTTAAAAAATTTTGATTTATGTATTTTATAATGTTTGGATTTATTTTGCAATTTATTTTTTATTATTTTTTATTTTGACACTTACGTTTTTCAAATAATAGAATTATAATCTATGTAAGAAGTCAACAAATGCTTGAATTTCGCATTGATTATAGTCTGAACAAAAAATTGAAAAGATCATTGTCTTTGTTTAAATTCCATTTTTAAATAAATTTTTTAATCAATATTTTTCAGATGATAAAAGATAAGAATTTTATTCCACAAATTATGATGCGAGAGCCATATATCTGATAAATAATTTTCATAATAATTGAATCTTTCTTAAATAATATAGCGAGAGAATTCTGCTCTACTTGTTGGAAATAATATAATCAAATTGATTTTTTTGAAATACCATTATTTATAGATTCGCTTTGTAGCATGAATGATATTACAAGATTTAAGCTCCATCATAAATAGGATTCTGAACCAAAATCTTTATTTTGGAGATCTTTTGTTTTTGTTGGTATTAAAAGCATATGAATTCAATATTTGCTTTCTAAAAAATCGAAGATCATAATCGTGAAAGTAAAGTATATATCATTTGGATTACTTCAATAAACACAAAATTTGAGGGTAGATTGTGCATTTTTAATCACTCATGTAGTAGCAATGTCTGTATCTTATGTATTACATTCACTGTTTTCTCAAAGAATTCACCAATTCACCAAAGAATTACCAATCATAGATTGTGATATGCAAAATATCTGCTCGCGAGTTTCTGAAAAGGAAAGAACGTGCGAGTGCTTATCTTAAGTCAAATACGTATTTCATGTAACTCTACCTACTCAATGTAAGTGTATTTATTCAATGATTATTATCGACCTATTTTGTTGTGTGCTTTTCTTCAATTTTCCTTGTCATCGACTACATTTAGAAGAGTACAAACAGCATTTTTAGGAAAACAGAATCTGCTAGGCATTTATGCATAGCAGATTTGAAAGTGAGTCAAAAAAGGAAACACTAGTGTTTGTATAAATTAAATTGTACAAAGTAAACCATAATCCTGTTTGTCGTCGAGTTTGAGCATTTTACATTTATGAATTATACATGTAATGGACAAGGGCCGCTTTCAGGTATGTGGGAAGAACCAGCCACACCAGAGCTATATATCAGGGGAGAAAACGATTGTCAATCATGTTACATTTGTTTATTTAACTTTTATGACTACCGAGCGGGCTTGTTTTGTTTGGTGCGAAGTTGCAACAATCGATCATCTTGGTTGCTTTAGCGGTTGGTGAAATATTTCCAAACCGTTACCGTTATCATTTGTCATATTTATCAAAACCGGGTATGTGTACCCTTGGTATCACTTCGTAGCATTGAGTATCGGTTCTTCACAAGTAAACAAAATCAATATTTGTTTTACATAGACCCTATATTGATACTATGCTACTTCGTTTCTTATCTCGACATGATGAGCAAGGAATCAACGAAGGAAAAAGAGAAAGAAAAACATCCAATTATACGTGGGAACTTAATAAAGTTTAATTCCGCGGAAAAGTGGAAGAAAAGGCACTCCACTGCCATACTTTTCGGGTTTCCTGAAATACTTTGCAAGAGTGAAACAAAATCAATTGGTTTCCCTGAGAAATATGCAAGATCTTCTCGTTTGAGTAACATCCATTGGAAAAAGTCGAGCTGTATAGAAGTCTCTTCCATCTCCATGCAGAAACTTATGACTCATCCAGAATCTTTTTTACACGGGTAGGAAATGGGTAGCCCAGAGCATACCGTTACACAGTACGTGAAATATAAAACACGGAGGAAAGAATTTAACAATAATATTATGGTATACAACTTTTTTGGCGGAGAATCCTAGACGAGAAGGAATGTTCTTATAGAGGAGGGTCAGACCTCACGTCGCATAATGGCGAATGGTTCCATGCCGGCATCCGCTGAATTAGGGGTACCAGCCTGTATTAGGGTTATAAGAAAGAGGTTGTCTAGTTCAGGTATTAGGTGGCAATTACGTAAATTAAGTGGCAGGGGACGTCGGATGAGGTAATCTACGGCTCAGAGTAGGTCGATTTTCCAGTTGCTTATTCGAAGCTTGAAAGTGCTCCCCCGACCGTAATTAAGGGCGATTCAAGGCCGTCGGATTGCCTTTTCGATGATCACGATATTGCGTCTGAACGAGTAGTTTAATTGCGATGAGCCTGTGGAGTCACCGAGCAATATTTTTCACTGCGCGGTGACTTGGAGTTCACCGGAGAATCCGAATTGGACGGGAGCCGGCGATCAAAATAAATTTGGCTTTTTATCGGAAGGAGCAGCGATCCGCGCCGTCCGATGCTGACACGGCTGGCCTCGGTCGCGGGTGCACGGTCATCCTTTTCACCGCAAATAGTAAACGGCGTCCTTTCAACGAGACAGGCTAATCGTCGGATCGCAGCATCGACGGACACGATGGCGCACGAAGCTACAAGCGGAGAAGACGTGTTCACCTTTCGTGCGTCCAAGGATGGAGGAGTGAATTCAAAGATCCCAGGCACACCGAGAATCTTCGCCACTCCACCGTCCGATTTCGAGATCGACGGTGCGATCCGATCTCCGACCGACTCCACCTCTCGACGGAAAGGCCACCCGACGGCCCCTCCCCCGCCCCATTCGGCCGTCCGATCGGCGAATCGACGGGCTCCATCGTGCCAGAAACCCGAAGCTCCGCCGGGATAGTCCAAAGCATGCCCGAGACGCGTCGTCCGATGGAGAAATCCGAGGGCCGGGATGAGGCGGGATGGTGGCGAGAGAAGGGCGACGGAGGGAGGAGCGGGACCAGGTCATGGACGGAGGGCCAGGAGCGGAGCGCCGAGAGATACAGGAGCAGCGCGTCAGCGAGAGGAGGAGGAGGAGCGGGAGCGCGGTGCGATTGGAGGAGAGCCGGTAGCGGAGGGGCTGCTAATTTTCCTGTGGGCTTTAATAAATCGCCTCGGCTCCGTTCGATTTTCTTTTCGGGGACACTGGCGGAGCGGAGAGGAGCGGAGCGCGGGCCGTTGTAGTTGGCCGCGGGGGTGAAATGTTTTCCTTTGAAAATCGGGTGGAACGTTCCGCGGGCCGCGGCGTCCGACTATAAAGAGCTGCACCCTCCGGCGCTCTCCCCTTTGCTGGACCTGAGCTTCGAGCTCGAAGCCTCTTTGCGCGAGCGAGAGCGAGCGAGGGTGCGAGAGAGCGAGAAGAGGGGAGGGCAGAGCGCAGGCAGAGGCAGGCACGCAGGAGGCACAGAAGAGCGGAGTGAGTGAGTGAGTGAGTGACGAGACGAGTCACGAGAGGGAGAGGAGGAGAAGGAGGAGGAGGAGGCGCGAGGAGGAAGAGCAAGAGCCTTGTCGCTCGCCCGCTCGCTTGCTCGCGCGTGCGGAAGGGAGGGGAGGGCAGGGGAAGGAGGGGGAGAGGAGGGGAGGGCAGGGGAAGGGAAGGGAAAAGGGGAGAGGCTAGTTTTGGAAAGTGGCACGAAGCAATGAGGGAGCTCTTCAAAATGGGTGTGCGATGAGGGGGCCTTCTACTTTGCGGTAGAAGCTCCCTCGCCCAGCTCGCTTGCTTCCTGCGTGCGCGCGCGTGCGTGTCGTGTCTTGTCGAATGTTGGGTAGACGAGGAACGGAAAGGGGAGGAAGGGAGGCAGCCAGGGAAGGGGGAATGTGAGTGGCGCGAGCGAGCGAGCGAGAGAGCGAGCGCGTGTTTGATAGGTTTGTTTGGTCGGGGCCGAGCAGGTGGAGGAGGAGAGGAGAGGAAAGGAGAGGAGGCCGCAGGAAGGCAGAGGAGAGGAGTGGAGGAGGAGGAGGAGGAGCAAGAGCCGAGAAGAAGCGCAGGACGGAGGAAGAGAACAGAGCCGGAGGTCGCGAGGACTGACCACTTTACTGACGCACTGACATGAAGACTTAACTGCTGCTCGAGCCCGAGGGTATCGAGAGCAAGAGAGAGGAGACCGAGCGAGAGCCGCGAGCGAGCGAGCGATAGAGGTTCGCCGTGCAGAGTCCTGCTCCGACTCCGGTCCCGTGCTGTGGAGCAGGCAACGGATGCGGAGGTCGCGCGGTGGGCAATGAAAGCTGGAGCAGAGGTTGGCTGCGACAGGACACAATAAGCTGCCGTCGACGAAGAAAAGTTGGGGTCTATGTTCCGCGATTCGGCCTTCGGTCTGTGGGTCTTCTTGTTACATAGAATTAGACGGTAGGAGGAAGGCAAATGTTTGGAGAGGGGACAGGAGGAGGAGCAGCTGCGGCATCACCACCTGTACTTGTGCCTACACGTTTTGTATGGACTCATGGTGGACGTCGGGTTCATCTGTGTGGTTCATTCACCAGGTTTCTTCCTCAACATAAGTCATGCTGACGCCATTTTTTCCCGAGTATTGCCCTGTAGAACGTGGAACGAAGCGAGGGCCGCTTCGACTCGTCGAGATTAAATGCAGCTGGTTCAGGGATCATGATGTCTGAATCGGGTCTCCGAAAGGGCATTGCAGTTTTGCTCTTCGTATTAGGTTATTACAGTAGATGCTCATGATTGAGTATATCACATGCGTTTCGGTCCCTGCCCGAAATCTGTGGACAATCGGAGTGAATGGCGAGTTGATTACAGGGTTGACATTGACGACTCTCGTAGGCCACAAACTCCATCTCGATGTGGCTAGTGAAATTAATTGAAACAAGCGTGCCTTACCCGTTATCACTTCAAGAGAAGGCAATTTTTCATCGATCTCCTAAACCAGTCACCTCTGTGGCTGGGCGATCGCAACCGGCGTTGCAATTTGTCGTCATTTGTCAGAAGAGAGGTCGATTAAACTTGGGTGCCACGGACTAGAGCTTCACGTATTCCTCAGCAGCTTTTCCAGTTTGTGATCATCATTTCGGTGATCGAATCACACTTTTTAATCTGATCTGGGGCGGCGAGGATGAGCTACGACCAGCTGGAAGGATGCAGGATTCTTTTAGCAAGCAGTTAGCCTGACTTTCTTGATCCACGCAAATTCTGCCATCTAGGAATCTCGACTTCGTTGATCAAAATTTTGCAGTACGCCAGTCGTTGTTATTAGTAGGAGTTTTCAATCCTCGTTATCAGTATATGAAGCCTTTCCTACGTTGAAATGCTGGCTGTTCATGAGAGTTCGCCCGGTAGTCGAAGTTTGGCGAAATTGCAAATGCTGTTAAAACTTGAATTGTTCGTAGATGAAATTGTGCCCCTTGTATATTCTCCAGGCTCTCTTTGAGGTCTGCGTAAGCTTGAGAGCAGAGATCTCAATTGGGAAAGGTTCATAAGACGAAGGAGCCTCCCGAAAGTGAACCCATTCAAGCTGACTAGGCTTGAGTTTCGCAGCTCATGTCATGCGTACGGCTCAGTAGTCACCTGTAGGGGCGCAAGTTATGAATCTCAATCATCTGTGTCTAAAGCGAATTGCTCGCTAGCTTAAGTGACCTGATTTTAATCTTGCTGTTATAAGTCTGAAGTTCTCTGTCTTTTTGTTTACTGGCAGGTGGCAGGAGACAATGCCGATGTCGCCCATGGAAGGTCTGCCAACAGTGTTCCAAGTTGTCTGCACACTTCCTCCTGGGTACCATCAGGTGATCATAGAATAATAGTCCTCAATTTACTGGGACGGATGTGGGAGAGCTTTCTTCTTCTCAAATCATGATCTTCGGCTTTATTGCCGTTGTAGGGTTCATAAATTGATACGAATGATTGAAGGATTTAGTCCTTGGCAGCTGATGAATACCATATTTTGGTTTCTTGGCTTATGCAGTATAAGTTCATTGTTGATGGTGAGTGGAGACACGATGATCAGCAGTCGGTTATGTCCGATCCTCTCGGAAACGTAAACAATTGGGTGCTTGTTAAGGAACCGGAGCATTTGTCTAGTGTTGAGGGTTTGGGACAGTTAGGTGCCAGTATGGATGTGGACCACGATATGCCTCCCCTTACGGTATTATCCTCTCTCCCTGAAACGTCGGTAAGCTGAGCATCAGAAACTTGCACTCTTTGAGATCGTACTTTGATACTAGTGGTCTTTGTTTTCATCTAGAGTTCTAAGTTATTACATGGAGTAACATGGTTACAAGCGCAACGATGAGATGGACGCTTGAACATGACTCGTGCATGACAGAGGACGTGTGAGGTTAGCTCACTGAAGCATCAGTTTTGTGCTAAGTATTGGGCAAAGCTTTTTCATCTTTTTTGGAATCTTGTGGTTGTTTCTTAGGGTTTAAGACTTGATGATCACCATCAAGTTCAGCATCATTTGCAAGCGACATTATTACCTGAGGTACCCGCGCTCTCTGAGGGTGATGCCGAGGCTTCGAGGCAACGTATTGCAGATTTTCTTCTCCGTTATACAGCGTATGAGCTGCTTCCAGAGTCTGGAAAGGTGTGTCAATACTGCATCACTTTCATGCTTCATGGTTACTGGGGATCCAGTGCTTATCGGACATCAAGTCTTTTGAGTTTGTATTTTTGTCATACCAACCTTTGTTTATGCAACTGGTGGGTCCATATGAAGAATGAATGGCGGGCACTGCTGTGACCTGGTGCTCAAGATCATGTCTTGAGGTTGCTACTTAGAGACGTAGGCCACCCGAATGAAGATGTCATTTTGCGCTCGAGTGCTGTGTTCAAATTGGTTGACTTTTTATTTCTCAGGTCGTTGCGTTGGATGTTACCTTGCCCGTGAAGCAGGCGTTTCATGCCCTCTATGAACAGGTGCATTAAATCTTTCCATATTTGCTACCGACTATTTTTACCAATACGTCGTCGTTGTTACTCGACGGCTGCACTTTTAGTTTCTCTAGAATACAGAATCCGCGGGTGTTTTGCACGATGGTTCTCGATGTCAACTACTTGATTCAGAAGCTGCACTTAAAAGTATTGAAGACGGATTAATAGTTTGCTGAGACTGGCTGGGTAGGCATCTGAGTCAATAGCCTTGCATATGTTGATATATAACCCCATCTTTCCGGGCGTCATCACGTTGCAGCAATCTGTAAGGGTCCATTCTGACTAGATTTTTGGTTCATGGCGAACTTGACAGGGCCTTCCAGCAGCTCCGTTGTGGGATTCAGATAGGCAACAGTTTGTAGGAATGCTTAGTGCTGCCGACTTCATTACCATTTTAAAACAGGTCCGTAACATACTATTGTTCAATACCAACTGATTCAGTTCCCAGCTTCTTGGAATGTTGTAGAGTATATTTCTTGTTTTGACCTTAGCCGAGTGTGGTGCAATGCTACCGAAGGATCAGATCCCTCGTTACATCTCCTCCTTGAATTTGTTTGAGAGAAGATAATACATGACCAACTAAATTCATGTATTTAGAATTGTAGCCTAACTTCTTCTTCTTTTTAATTGTTGCCAACTCCATGCTGGGATTCAAATTTTTTCAGCTTGGAAGCAATGGAGCAATCTTGGCAGAGGATGACTTCGATACACACACCATTGCCGCATGGAAAGAAGAGAAGCTTCAACTTGCCACGCAGATGGATGGGTCTCGCATGAGTCCCCGACGACCTCTTCTCTATGTGAGTTTCGACTGTCATCATGTTGCAGGTTGTTGGATACACGGAAATAAACTTCCGTTTATTTATTGTACTCCGATTTTAGTGCAGAATATCTTTTGCCTCGTTTTGAGGCACAAACATGTGATCCTTCAGCAAGTGGTGGTCAGTAGGGAGAGCTTTTCTTATATATCTCTTATAGTGTCTTATCTTCAATACTTGTCCATTTTAGGCCTACACTCCTGTTTTCTCGATGAAATGAGGAACTTTCTTTAATTATACAACTTCGCTGCTACTCATCTCTCGCTAAGTGGCTTCTGTCTTTTTGTCTTCGTAGGTTGGACCTGATGATTCTCTTAGACAAGTGGCTGATCGGTTATTGGAGCATGAGGTGGCCATGGTGCCAGTTTTGCACTTTCCTCCGCAAAATGGTTCAGTTCCTCAGTTATTACATCTGGCATCCCTTTCAGGGGTACTCAAATGTGGGTTGACAAAACAATAATTTCTATTTGTTTTTGATTGGACGTCACAAAGCGTACAGAATTTTGTGTTGTGTTAGGCAATGGGCGAAGCTTATCTCTGGCTTACAGGAATTTAGGATTATGCTTTTTGATATTCATGCTACTAAGTTCAAGACTTGATTGGCATGAAGTTGAATGCTTGGACGAAATTTGATTGGTGACTCCTTCGTTTCGTATTGTATGCTTCTTTCTCTAAATGCAGGCATGCATAGACACTTTCGGAATGTTCCAGGCTCCTTACCTCTGCTATCACAACCCATTGGGGCGTTGCCTCTTGGAACTTGGATTCCTGAGATCACTGGAGACGCGGGTGGTCCACAACTTGCAGTACTTCGTCCAAATGCAACTCTTTCCAATGCCCTTGCATTACTTCTCCGAAGTAGGTTTTCACGCTCTCTCAAAGATGACTCTTGGAAGACAAGATATATTAACGATTGTGTTAGAAGTTTTACTTCCTGTTCTGAATGATTCCGACTATTATCCGTGATGGTTATATTCAAAAATATAGCTCCTGGTCTCGAGGGTCTCACGGAAATTGACAAACAACACTACATTTGCTGTAGGACGGAATTTTCAGTAGGTGTGGAGGAAATCAAAAGAGATGTTTTCAAACGTAATACACTTCAGATTTTGGTTCCTTACTTTGCATCATGATAAAGCGGGTTTCAGTCATTATTCTTGGGAGTTGTTTGTTCCAGATTGTGTGTTATAACAACGCTCTTTCCTCTGGCAGCCGGAGTAAGTTCTCTTCCAATTGTGGACGAGCATGGGTCCCTGGTGGATATCTACTCAAGAAGGTAGCTTTTACCCCAATGTTTACAAAATCCCAAGTGCCATTTCACAAGCCTTCATTCGTGTCGTCGTGATTCATAGCAATATTATATATACGAGGTTCATGCTCTTGTTGTTCTGCTGTGATGAAATTATTTCTTCGAGGAACATGTGCCCGAGAGGGGTTTAGTCTCCACCACGTTTTTGTTATGTAACTTCGTTATTTGTTCACACGAGATATCAAGTCAACCACTCTAGATTTTTTTGAAGTATTTGTGCATGGAGCAACCTCCTTGGCCTAATGACGTCTGATGCCGCAGTAGTTACAAGATTCATTGTGTTGGTGTTGGTCGTCTGCTGCCACCTCTTGTACTATTTTCCCGCTACCTCCGAAGGAATCTTTTTGCTCAAACTGATGTTCAGTATGATTTTTGAAGTGATCCGCGCGTTGGTTCAGTTGATACCTCGGAAACAGGTGTGGCTTTGGTGACGGATCTGAGACGGCCATCTGATTTTGCGGAGTTGGGAGTTTTCGTGTACATATCTTATTACTGCAAACTCATAAACTCGCATTGTTGGTTTGTGGGTGTTCACTCTTGGACAGTGACATTACAGCGTTGGCAAGGGATAGGTCGTATGCCCATCTACAGCTTGATGTAGTTACTGTAACTCAGGTTTTTTTCTACCTCCCTCTGTGCTAGCCTTATAATGCTTTTATATCGTCTCATTTGATTCGATCATAGCTTAAAGGGCTATCGGATCCAATACAGTGGAGGCGTCCACGGTAAGCGAGCCGCTAAGATACAAAATTTACTTCTGTTGCCGTGGAGCGTAAATGTAATTTGAAATGGAAGATCAAGATACTTTCAATTGCTCTCTTCAGTGGACTTGTGAGCATTACGATTCCACGTTCTCAGGAAGAGGTGGTTGACTTGAGCGAGGTAGCACGCCAGTTTGATTACTTACCTCACAGTTTGAACCCAATTTAACTTCCTGGGTTTTTTCTGACAGGCTTTGCAGATAGGTGCTCAAGACTGGGGTAACGGTCCTGGGGGACCCACTAGTGCCGGCAATCGATTGCACATGTGTGTTCGTTCAGAAAGCCTGCGGTCTGTGGTTGAGCGATTGGCCCATCCTGGTAAGTCCTTTACGCTTCGTACCTTTCCGTCCATCCTTGTTATCTCCTGGTTACTGTGTGAAGTTACTGGTTGCTTCATTTGCTTCCATCTTATGCAATATAGCCTGATTTTGGAATTTCGATTGCGAAGTTGTCCTGTGGTCAGAATATTTCCTACTTTTGTGTGTGGGGTCAAACGCAACGATGTACAGTAGGTTTGGAGATAGCAGTAGTCCCAGTGCTTTCTCTTTTTCTGCCATTGTCAGCCCGAGTCTTGCTGCACATTAATTCATTTTACGTTCTCATGTTTGTCTGATGGGTTTGAGCAGGTGTACGGAGGTTGATTTGTATTGAGGCCGGCAGTAAGCGCGTAGAAGGAATAATTTCTCTGAGAGATGTATTCAACTTCTTGCTTGGTTAATAGGTGTTTGATTCTCTCTATTGTTTCATTTCAGCGTGGTCAATGTAGTTTTGGTCCCCTGTGTCAGGCTAAAGAGATTTGGCCCTGGGGATGCTGCCATCAAACATGGCCTAATTGGATGCGTACACATAGAATGATTAAAGGGTTCCCATCACTCATTTTTTTCTCTTGTTCATCTCATCTCCATGAAGCTTCTGGTATGAAAAGTGAGAGTTTCAGTATATGTTGGCTGTCTAATAATCTCAGGCTGAGGTGAGATGATCTTACAGTTCGACAGTGAAGTTCCCTGATCGAGAATTTCTCATGGGAGAACCCTTTGTGTCGTACGGTGTAGGAGATAGTGAAGTAGAGTCGTCCCTGGGTGTTGTGGCACGAGGTGAACTAGTTCACTACATGGTGCACTCTGTATTGTGGGAGTAAGTTACTATCGCAGAACAGTATGTCTCCCTTGCTTCCCATGATGTCTTTGATAAATATTGGGGGAGAGTGAGTCATCTGCCAAGATTTCCAACTGGTTAGTGGGATGAATGTACCATCCTCTACCTAAAACTCTCGTGTAGATTACATTTGCCCAACATTGTGTAGAATCAGAAGACTCATTTGAAAACATCATGGAATTATCACAAATTCTGACAGTGTTGATTAAACACGTCGCAGTGTTCTTATGTGAATGAATTCCATGTTGAGTGTTCTTCTGTTTCCGTGAAACTTAGGATGATTTAACGTCGTACTGAAGGGAAGGTGTGAGCAGTTCACGTGTACTTGTCGATGCTTTGTGAGATACTAGTACTACAGTACGAGTAATACGATATTGAAAGCATTATGAATACTGAGGTTTCAAATAAACCCGACATCAGTGTCCGTTTTAGTAGGCGAACGCATGCTCCTCCCTCACCTACTTTTATGTGTACTTTATATTCTTGCTTTGTGAAAGGACTGAACATAATAAGCTTCGCTTCTACGATACGGCAAACCATGATATGAAGATGCTTCCACCAAAACATAGATCGTCGTTTTCTATCTGAAGGTGGAGTATATCAGCCACCATTCGCGTCGCGAACTTTAGAACTTGAGTACGTATACAAGTTACTTGCGTGGTGTAGCAACCAATGTCCTGCGCGGCACGCAACGAAAGCTTTTGCGAAATCTGGAATGACACATCCATGCGTGGCGTAGCCCGTGCACGTATTGCAGTCAGTGATGCAGCTGTAGTGTGTCATAGGGACGGTACGCTACTGTTACCTTTGCAAGCCTTGCATGAAAAAACAACTTTGTAGTATATCTACATAAATCTTTTGATGTACACAACGTCCGTAAGTATTTGTTTGTCGGGTTTCACAAGCAAATGTCTGTTTACTTCAGCCTAAGAGATCTGTCCAAGGCATCTCGAATGTCTTATCATCTGTAGGTCTGATGGCATCCACTGCAGGATGGAATCACGGTTCACTTGTTTTTGACTTAATTCCAGGCTTAAAACGTGATTCAGTATGGGGAACTCAGTGCTGCAAATGTCGGCTGAAGGTCTCCAAACCAATCAAATGATGATTACAAGGCCAGCAGTCTTTCTAAAGAAGCAACCCTATGTACGGTAAGTATGACCGAGGTGAACTTGACAAAGTTGGGCCAGTAAAGATTATCATTGAAAGATACCTACAGCGAGTTACATTGTAATAGACTCCAACCAAACCGCGCCATCATCATGAGACGGCATAATTTCCACTGTTATGAAACATATATATACCACAAGTTATAGTCTCTGTACTGATAACATGATTAATGAAATATCAAACCCCATCAATTCACGAAACTACAGAAAAGGACGCAGAAGTGAGTTTCCCAATGTAATATCCGCCTATCTTTAGACTTCCTTATTCAACACATCAAAGTTGAAGCAGAGAGTTTCTCTTCAAGATACAACTCATTGACATAGACTAGTCTCTCATTGACTTGATGCACGAGACAGAATGCTTGATGGTGTCACTTTAAATTTGGCATTACAGTATAGACAATTCAGATAGACATCCACTGTGTTTATTCATCGTGTTGGACATGTATTCATCGTTTTGAGCCATTATTGTCAGGAAGTAGAAATTCATTATTTAATTGATTTTTAAAATGAGTTGAAGTTTGGACCGATATTTCTCATATAAAGTATTGAGAATCGCATGGATCACATAGAAATTGAATTTTATGAAAAGATAGGTATTGGTAGTTTTTACATTATTCCAAGAAAGTAGATTTACTTTTCATACTAACTAAAGGATACAATTTCTTATAATTGTATACAAAATTTAGTTTTAGTATACATTTATACTCCTTTGTGACATTGTCTAATGCATGTTAGATGTGATTTGTTATGTATCAATCTTGATTGATACATAACAAATCAAAAAAGCCAAAATATATGAAAAATTTCATGAAGTAATCAATGTTATGATAAAAACCTTGCTCAAGATCTTGGAGGATAGAATATATATTGATATATTATAAATATCGAATGATGTATGTGTTAGGTCATAATTTACTTTTACTTTTATTCTGTATTTGTTTTTGATGTGCTTCATTTCAGTTTTTGTTATGTTAGTTGAAAGAAATAGTATGTTTACTTATGCTTGGATATCATTTATTATTAATTTTCATGATAAATCAAGCTTGGATGGTAAAGCCTTTTATATGTTGATTTGTACTTGTATAGATTAGTATAGCTCTATAACTCATGAGTTTAAGCTTATAACCTAGACCAAGGTAATGTATAACTTCAAGGTAGGATATAATCTAAATGCAGGATATAACTCATGTTAATGTACTAGAGTTTTGACCTAATCACTAGCATAAGAACCTACCCTTTGAAGGTTTATATAGGCACTAGAAGGTGAAGTTGACTAGAACTTAGTACAAGAAGGAGTACCAAGAAGATGGAAAAGCCGACTAGAACTTAGGGTAAGAAGAAGTAGTATTAAGAAGATGGTGACTGCTGAAAGTCTCCCATATTGGATTCTTTTGACATCTGCTTGACCTGCTTCAGAGTCATCAAGCAAGCAAATAAAGTACATTAAGGAGACACAAATCAGTTTGGTTGTTTGTATGGACTTAGTGGAAGGCAGGTTCAAAGCTCAATGGGTGAGAAAGGTCAAAATTAGGAATTGCTACCTAGATTGGATACTTAAGGTATTGCCGCATGCTCACAACTTTGAACAATGGATTCCAAAAGCTTCATGAATAGTAAAAAGATAAAATGATGAAGCTAGAAATGACTTGGAGTCTAGTTGATGGAATTTATTCCTGGTAGGACGAGTTGCATTGATGTAGCATATAGGCAATTTTTTGCATCATGTATTAGGGATCAAAAGTCCCATGTTGCAATTGGATTTGAACTATAAAACATGTGGTTGTATGTGTGAATTGATTGTAGAATAAATTAAAAAATTGATTTTGGTTAGTTTATTATCATGACTTATTTTAGTTAGTTATAACTAAGTTTTGCTATCAAATCTATAATTGCCAAAATAACCATAATAATAATAATAATATTGAAAGTATTATAAATAGAGTAGTAATTGTAACGTCAAAACACGTCATGACAAGAAATACTTGAAACACACAATGTAACGTGGTTCACCCTCGAGGAGAGTGCTACGTCCAGGAAGACCTATACACCTTTTACTCAAGGTATGTCAAGAATGATTGACTTTACAAGGCAGAATCTAGATTAATTAACCCTTAGTCCAAGTGACGTCACTACTATAAATAGCCAAGTTCAGAGGTCACTCATTAACCGGAGTTAACCTCACCACTGTTGAAGATATTTTCAATTAAAATTTAGAGTGTTTTTTGTGTGAAAATTTGTTTCATCAATGGAAGTTTGATTTTGCAAAACATCTTGAAGTGTCAATGAATGTTAATCTTGAATGATGAGTGAAAAGATTGTATGAGACAATGTTTGAATGTTAGTCTTAGATGATGAATGGAGACATTGTGCAAGACAACTTTTTAGACACGGGCATGTAGATGAATTACTAACTTCTAGAATCAAGATAATCTATCAAAAATTCATATGGGATGATACAAAGTGAGAGTCAACTTAAGATCTCAAATCCGCAGATTCAACTTGATCTTAATTTCAAGATACATACATTGATTCTAAGAGTCACTAATTTAGTTTTTAAGACATTGATGACAATAATCACAAGCTGCTAGAGTTAGTAAGTGATCAAAGAGTCAAGTAAGTGAGTTTTGGTGATTGCAAATGAAAAACATGATACATGAGCTAATTGATTGGACCTTGAACATAGATTAGATGAATAATAGGAATTTAAAAGTATTTTTTATATATCATTTCTGAGGTAGGTCTAGAGGGTTCCTGGTTTGACATTATAGTCAATGTAATCCCTTCTCTCTAAGTTATTTCATTTTTGACCAAACAGGCTAATCATGTTCGTTTATCACTAGATACCTTAGAATTAGATATTAACCAAAGCTTTTTTGTTATTTTGGTATTTCATCTAGTTGAAATATGTTGGCTTAATGATGATATGTTCAACAACTGAAAATGGGATATTCAATTCTCTTTAAATGAAATACAATGAAAAAGAGGATTTTGTAATTGAAACAAAAGTTATTAACACTAGTTTTGTATAACTGATTTGCTTCCGCTTGTTATAAGAAATATATTTTTGATACACATTGAACTTTTCTATTCTAATTGTACATAAAATTCCAAATACTTAATTTGAATATATCTTTTATGTATAAATTTCTTCAGATAACTTCCGAAAATATTGTTCTTTAATTTTACAATTAGTATATTAGATTATTTCTTCAAAAGTTAAGTCACTTGACAAGTATTTTTACCAGTTCTATATAATTCTATAGTTCACGCAATACTTTTTGTATCTGTTTATCTACAGTGATTTCGGTTCTATGGAAGGATGGTTTGAGTGATGAAATTTGGTTTGCTAAGTACTTAGATATATTACGTGTGTACACTGTGATCCGAATAGTGAAACTAATAGGCAACACTGTTATTTTTCTATTATGCCAAACTAATATATTAAAACTTATTCTTGGTTCTAAACACAGTTTCATCTCGTGATTTGACAATGGAGAAGATCAATTGGACATGCACATTCTGTTCGTCGGCTGCTAAGCATGGCACATTGGACCTTTCATGCATTGCATAAAATGAAGTTATCTAGGTTCACACACTCGATCTGAACGCTTCCAAGCCAGAAAAACGAACTCGGAAATGAGAGTGAGAATGGGATAGAATACACGACACAAACATATGTATATATTAAACAAGAGCAGAGAGTTCTGTATACACGAGCCTACATCGCGACGGGGACCAAATCAGCTGAAGGCAATATTCAAGACGGACGCCGCCGAGTCCAGACGTCGCAGCGCCATCCGCCGGTGCTGGCGCGGGTACGGAGCATCGCGCACCGCCTGATCGAGAATCCTCCTCAGGATGAGGCAATATTCCTGCACCATCGCCGCGATTATTGCCATGACGAACATCATGGCGTTATTCCTTCACTTCACTTCGCTCGACGCCGTCGGGTCTGCCGTCGACGTGGTTGCGGTGTAGTTACGCAGTCGAGGCCGGACTGCCGTAGTAGGAGTAGGAGCTGCAGTAGCAATCTTAGAGTCAAGCGTAGTCCTAGTCCTAGTACTAGTACGTACTATACACTGCAGTACGAGTGGGAGTAGTTTCACCGGATTTGGTCGGTCATTACATGTAGAGAAGTCGAGTTATTTCATCGGGACCGGTTGTAGCAGGTCCTTCGGATTCCATCGTTCCTGCAGCTGAAGCAGCTGCAGATGCTCTGATGGCGATGGAGCCGCCGACCGACTTCGAGGAGCAGGCAGTGTGTGCTCGTGGGTGCTCGGATTGGACGAAGGCTGGGCCGCTGTGGATCGATCGATAAATTGCTCAAGCGGACGCGGAGACGAGTTCCCTTTCTTCTCCGATTCTTTTCTCAATTGGCGCTTCTGATTCTGCCGAGAGCCCGAGAGGTGGTTCCGTCGTCTCCTCCATCCTGCAGCTGCTCCATTTCCAGCACGCACGCAGAAGTCAGTCCGATTCGTAATAATTCACGTGTTCATGGCTCCGTCTCTTTTATGCATTGGACGAAGTTTTCATTGCATCCTGATCGTTCGACCGACAGACATACACTCGCTCACGGATCATGGTCCATTCGGTTCTATTCCAGAAATGCGCAGCAGGGAATTCCTCACAATGTGCTCCAATTCGGACCTAAAATGAACTGAACTGAACTGAATTGAACTTGAAGTCTTTGCAAGGGATGGAATTCCTCACAATGTGCTCGAACCCGGACCTAAAATGAACTGAATTGAATTGAATCGAACTTGAAGTCTTTGCTAGGGAAGGGTGCCTCGTAGAAGAAGCCTTCGAGTCGGCGGTCAGGACGAGAGGTCTATTAGGTCAATGCGGAGAACATCGTGATCGAGGTGGCAGAAACCAGTGCATATGAGAGGTTCCTGAGGGTGATCACGGAAAGGCTTTCGATGATGCCTTAAGCGCAAAGGGAAGACTTGTCGGGATCTCTTGACGCAGACGACCTTTCGAGACCTGGGGGCTAGATTTGGTGTGTCTGCCGAAGCGAGCGAGGACAAATTGAGGAAGAAGACGGGACGTACCTCGAAGTGTAGAGAACAGACGCCACGCCGAGTCGACGACACGATGCGGTCCAGATATGAGCGTCGAGATCAGGTCGGCAAGGGCCGGGGAGGGCAGTCGACCAGTGGCAGCAGTTCAGCAGCTCCATGCTGACGCCGAGGACCATCGTCGCTGCATCCAAGAGCTGCGTCGCTCTTGCACCCTCTCCTCCTCCGCGCGCCACATTCCCGCCCCAGCTCTTTCTCAATGCCGCGAGGCACCCTCACCCTCAACTTGCTGCAGCTGCCGCGGACTCTCTCGCCCTGAATCAATCTGCCATCACCTCGACATCGAGCAAGATCCGTGCCCAATGATCGAAGATAGATTCCACACTGGACTCTCGATCCATTCCACGAAAAGCGCGCGCGATTGCCGCCTGAAAATTGAATTGCGCGCTCCTCCCTCCGAGAATTCGACCGCGACAGCTCGCAGCCCTGCCCATCCCTGTCATGGTGGCTCATCATGGCCCCTGCTTCTGTTCCTTCCATCTGCGCGCGAGGCCATGTCCGCTGTCGGGACGCCGGTCGAGCTCTCGCGCAACGAAGGATCCAAGGCAAGGGCGCCTTTTCGATCTGCGCCTAGGCAGGCTTCTGCTGCTCTCCTCCAGGTCCTCGGTGCCCGCGGGGTCCCACGCCATGACCCGATGGCGAGCGAGTACGTGGAGGGCTGGTGGAGGACGAGCGAGCGAGGGCGGATTTCTGGGACTCTGTTGCGCAGCAGGTGCAGCTTCGGTCGCGGTTGAGGAATTTGTGAGCCTGGACTCGTAGTTCAATGTGGAGGAGTGTGCGCTTCACAGGCTGCAGCGTCTGATCTGAGAGCCCTTTCCCTGCGCCGGAACGAGCTCCACGTGCATTGGCTCCGGCAGATTGAAGTTGGATGCTTGCTATCCATTTCTCTTCTCCTGGTGACACGATGGTGACACATTTGGGGATATCTGTTCGGAATGGCGCTGTTTGGATCACAGTGCTTGATGTAAGTGGGGAAATTTGATGATTCCTTGAGTAAGTCGTACTCGAGAGCACATTCCACTCTGATCCAGCAGTAGCATCTGTAGCAGCTGATGGGCGAACGTTTGGAACAAGTTCTCGGAGCTCAGGTCGATGATCTTCTTTGGATAACGTCGACAGATTCCTTATGACATGTTGAAATCTGCTGCGTGATTGGACCCTCAACGTATGCACAATGCAATTTGAGATTTTGAGCGTTCTGGTGCTGGTGCTGCCAGTGGTGGATTACTCAGACCCCTGCATTCGGGTGGTTTGCGTTGTCTATTACTGCTCCGCAATCCCGCTCTGTGTGACTACGACGAGCCTTAGGCTTTTCCAGTCTTGCTGCTATGAAATCTGCAGGAGGGAAGTTGAAAAGTTCATGATCTAAGTTTAAACATCCCCCCTCAGATTCAAGACATCCGATTCCACACCTCGTTGACGAAAAGATGTGGTCGTGGTCTGCCAATCGAGAGCATATGCGAGCCAATCGAGCATCGAGTTTGTCGAGGATCCTGGACTCTGGAGCATGACACGATACATTAAGTTCTACCGATTGGCTACCGATTGGTCGCCTCATCAGACAAAGCAGCATCAAGAGTCTACGCCTTGCTCGTGCTACAAAGAAGGCCGTGCCTTATTACACATGATGGAAACCCCAACATTGATACAATAGACAGGTAGTGCATGGTTCCACTCACCGTATCGCCTTTCTAAGAGCTAACTCAGGAAGATTCAAGTAAGCTACGTACTCTAGAAGCTCAGCTCGGCTGAACCATGGAACAAGCTGCACGAAGAGTACGTACGGGTGCCATCTTGACAACACCATGACCTTTGTGACCTGCCCCCTGAGTTATAGTTGCTACTGTAAGTAGTCTGATATTCCATAGTGCGAGCTTCTAAGCCTTCTCTGGGCAGTTTATGATGTTCTAGAAGTGTCCAGGACTGTACTGCATCTAGAACAAGGCAGTGTTTGAGTCATACAGAGGCTCGACTCGACTGCTTTATGATAAGCATGCCAATCTCTTGCAATATATTACGACTACACACTCTCTGATGTAAACTAGATTTGCATTGTTGCAGGTAAAGTCGAGAACTTGTCGATTCTCGAGCAAATATGTCGGCTCGTGTGAACGAATATTCCATCTGAGCCGTTTTACTAATGGGTAATCAGTTCCAAACTGAATCAAGAACAAATCAGGAGAGGAAAAGTGATGCCTGGATGCCAAGAACTCCAGCGGCCCTCTTCAGAGCAGAACCCATTCCTGGAACGAAGATCAAACTAAGATTTAAGATCTGAGTTCATCCCTGTTTGCTGTTCAGCTTACTTTGTGTCAACAATCTGCATGATATACTGCCACGGTGACCTTCTTCCCTCTCATTCAATGCCGGCTTTAGTGCGTGTGCTTCTCCATTGCCACAGGAAAGGGGAGGTGAATTATGATCGCCATTGCATGCATCTACACGTTGACTAACCGCTCGACTAACCTACATGTCTCAACTCTCAAGTCTCATCAACAGGAGGTTAAAAAAAAGGGCATCATTCGTGAGTGGGCTTCGATGTACGTCGTTGCAGTAAACACGGGAAGGTCCAGTGCAATATCTAGAGCTGAATGAAGGATGCAAGGACAAACTTCAAGATACTCCGTCCGGAATAATGCCAGCCGTAGGAGCCAGGAAATTTGAACAATTACAATCAAAGGCGAAATATGGCCAAGTACAGCAAGAATCAAGGCAAAAGATTTCCAACCATGCATGCAGGCATGCAATCAAAAGAACTTCTGGGTAAAAACTCTGGAAAGAAAAACAGTGCTCTCCATACCAAGTATGCAAAAGATGGGTCATGCAAAAATCAATCAGGGAAGTATAGTAAAAGCTTCTTCGCTTCTCTATTCATTTCTGCAGCCCAAAAGTCTTTGAACTTTTTTTCCAAATTCTGGATTGCTTTGCCAGTGTGTCTGGATTAAGCTAAGTACCTCACTAGCAACAAGTCACTCAATCTAGTGTACTTTATGAACAACCACAACTTTTGAACATTTCTAGTAGAAGATGACCCCTTCTGTCGTCTAATGGTAGATATCTGCCACAATGCTCCAATTTGGAGACATCGCGTTGGGTTGAGCGTTATGCATTGGCAGCAGCATTTAAATTTACTGAAAGAATGAATGTCAGTGGATGAATATAATGTGGCCATCTACAGGTGACTGAAAACATTGAGGCAGTGTTCTCAGAATTAGGTCTCTAGGATTTAAAGTCTATGAAACAGTGACCTCTGGATCCAGTACTTGTACTCATAGTACAGTGGACCACGTAAGGTCGAAGATTTAGGACACTCCGAAAAACTATGTAACAATCACTTTGTTGGTCTACTGCTCTGAACCTAATCACATTGTACAAGCTCCGGGATGAGAACACTCATTGTCTTTGAATGTGGGAGCGGAAACCGGATCCTCGTGGAACAAGGAAACCGAATCTCTTCAAGAGGTCCCCGGGCAGCAGGTTAATCTTTGAGTTTCTGAGCTGAAATGTACCACCTGCTAGAAGCAAGCTGCACTTGAGTGGTAGCTTTAGAGATTAGGAGACATCTTGCTGAAGTCATCTCAAGAGTAGAAGAGCATGCTCTTGTGTCACACAAGGTCATGACCTCTGCATCTCGTAATCGTCTGCGCTTAAACGAAAAGAATACCGGACGAGTTAGTTCACACGGGTCAGGTCATGAGAATGTAGCTTGGCTTCGATACGATGACCCCAAATGTGTGTTGCTGACTAAAAGTGTCTCGTGATGAAACCACTGCGACTGTTGAAGCTCGGAAACTATACGGTAATACTTTCTGTACAGGCTGAGATTAGAACCGTGGAGAACCAATGCGCTCAGAAAACACTAAATCTTTTACAAACTGTTGATTCAGTTGGTGGGTTTATGTCATGCGGAATGAAGTCGTGCAATAAAGCTTTTACAGAATAGATGTACTACGAGCCGGTAGAGAACCAAACCTTCAACTCACGCAGAGAACTATAGCTATATCCTCAAGGGTCTGTAACCCGTACTTATTTTACACAAATTCTCTGAAGGCTGCGTGAACGCATACGCTCAGCGCCACTGCATCGGGTGGGTACTGCGGAGTGATGGTTGCTGTTGCTCGTGGATCATCATGTCTTCAAGGACTCTGCAAATCGACATACAAACGTTGATTGTGTGTTTCAGAACCTTAAAGAGTTTTCGTCTCCGGAATTCCGTGCCAAGATTTCTTTTCTAACGATTCCATGGAAACGATTCAAGGCAACATCCTAAAACGATGACACGAGGCTCCTTCTTGCTTACAGGTAATGAGCTAAGTAACTCACAAAGGAGCTTTTGAATCTTGATTCCTACTAAAACAGGACATCACACCTTGAAAATTATCTTGTAACACGGTCCTTTACGGACTGAGTCCTACGAGCAGCTCCAGGCGTTAGCTTCTCTTTCGCTGTCGTAGTCGTAGATGGTAAAGTCCGCGACTTAGCCAATGTAGTGGATGTGCTGAAAGACGGTTTCGAAAGAGGTGTAGGCTTGATGTCTTGAGCGGGGCTCTTTCTTAGTGAACCTGCAGTTACAGAAAATCGCACAGCATGACAAGTCAGCAAAAAATCTCCACTAGGAGAAATATAGATGGTTTTAAGACACACCGTCCATCGAAGCCACCATGTCGTCAGTACGGAACCCCAAAGAGGAAGGGCAAAATTTACGTGCCATTCACGAGAAAGTTGAGTCGATGATGGGAAAATCCAAGTCTTCTAACGTACAGGTAGGTGTCCTGAACTATACAAACCGTGCTTCCAATTCTCTCTCACATAGCCTGCAAGTACAATCCATGTCATGAAAAGATTCTCACCTGGTGGTAGACTTTCAAAATTCGATTTGGAGGTACTCTGACGCTGGTTGCCTAATCGCTCACTTGAGGAAGGTAGATTTACCGACGTAGACATCCGGCTAGAGGAAGGCAAATTGACAGAAGTTGAGAGACGCGAAGTATTGAAGAGCACACTCGACCCATCGCCACTTCTCTTCTCTCGCGGAACCAGCGACGAGTAGATGCCAGAGTTCCTCTTGAAAGGATTTTGCTTTGGAGATGCCTCTGATCCACTCGAAGTGGTACTTTGTGGAGTCTGTGGAGTTTTGCTACCCGGTGCCAGTCCCGAAGGACTGGGACTGCCGCCACCCTTTTTCAGAAAGCTGGTATGAGTTTTACCGTACGGGCTTTGGCTGCCAGCCACTCCAAAGGGACTCGCTGATTCTCCGATCTTTTTGTGAGGTGTGCTCTCCATCTGTGGACTCTTGCTTCCAGCGACCCCGAACACCCTGCTTTCACCTCTCTTCTTGGGAGCCCCATGGGAACATAGGGAGCAAGAGCCCTGCGATTGATCCCACACGCCATGTATAGCACATACGCGATCTCGACTGGGAACTCGGATGGGCGTCAGAGCAAGACCAGCAATTTCCAGACTCTTCTCCGACAGACTGTGACGACGTGAAGAGCTGCGAGCGCTCGGTGGTGGAAGTGCAAACCGCAGATCGACGGGGACCTCTGATGGCGACTTCTGATCCGGCGTGCGTAGAGAGCTCTTAATGTCTGATTTGTCCTTCTTTCTGGGTTCGATAGTGCTGGGCCGCCTTAGGGTCATCTCCGAGGGGTTGAAGAAGTCCGTGATGGTTTTCGGACGAGGGCGAGAGCGTTGATTTAAATCGTCCGCATTATCAGTCGGGATATTGCTGCGGTCGTTGAGAGGTTCAAGATGCCCAGAATTCCCACGATCCGATTCTCCAAGACGATTTGCGTTCAGCTCTTCCAGATTCGGTAGACTCAGTGAACTGCGATGACTGGCAGTGCATTGAGTATCAGCAGCACCCGGCCTAACCACCCTCTCCGATTCCAGTGAGGCCCGGCGTTGTTTTAGCTCTTCTTGGTAAGTCTTGGCTGTACCTTGAAGGTCATCGAGAGGCACAATCAAGAGGGCGGGCCCGACCTGAGCCATGCCGGGAGCTGCACCGCTCGGCTCACTAGAAGGCACAAGATTACCTGCAGCCACTTCCGCTCCCGTGGCGGCAGCTTCTTTGGGACATCGAATGGCACTCGCAACCGTCGTGCGCGGTTCTTCCACGATTCTGGCTCGATTGAACTCTTCTACTAGGATTCTAGCAGTATCTCTGTGCTCCTTTCGAGGTGGGGGATTCACTTCAGCTCCCTGCTCTGGTGTAGTTGGGCCACGCACGCTGAAATTGAACGGATCCTTTGAAAAGGATTGCTCTTCAAGTAGGAATTGCTTTACCTCTTCCACGCTATCGCCCAAGGTTTCTCCTTCAAGAAAGAACTGATTCCCCTCGTCTGCGCTGTCGCGAGAGGCCTCTTCATCGAGAAAGAACTGATTCATTTCTTTCGCACTATCGGTGAGCAGGGGACTGGAGTCGTCGAGATTGGCAAGAGGACCTGCAGCATCGCGAGCCGGCGTTGCAGCTGCAGTCGGCACAGGGGAGATGAAGGGAGGGGGAGGGTCGAGGTTTGGCAGATTCTCGGTCTCTACACGATAATTTACTAGGCTCGCGAAATTGAACTGATGAAAGACAGGTTCCGGTTCTGCAGTATGCCTGGTTACACTTGCAAACGTCTCCTGATCGATAGTGTCCTTGGGATCCAGCTCCGCCAGGCTCCTTTCGAAAGCCTCTAGGAAGTGGTCGTTAGAAAGCGAGAACAGCTCTGGATTGTACGACTTCTTACGCGGAGCAGGCTTTTGAAATTCTTCCAAATCATGATTAGAATCCAGAATGTCCTCCTGCGTACCTGAGCTCGGAGATCTGAGCATATCGTAAATCAGATTCTCACGGTACACCACACCGTCATGAAAGTAAGAAACCCCAGCTTCGATGGCGGCATTCAGTATGCGTTCCTCACGCAAATATTCCGGCGATGTTTTTTTACTCATCCAAGCTCCCGAACCCTTCACAATCTTCAAATTACACGCGCTGTCTTCTTCCTCAGTGGTCAGAGTGTCGGATGAAGCAGCAGTGTCGGAGGAGGTTGTGTCTTCTTCTTCTGAGTGATCAGGAGCTCTATTTAATCTCAGAACAGTGTCTCTTTCTTCGATTAATTTCCGAGTTTCTTTTCGATCTTGGCACACCGTTTGCGACGTGACACCATCGTCGCACAGACTCGCGTCACTCACCTGAACGTGACATCTGTCCAATTTCTGAGGCCTGTCTTCCGCCTTGCGACTCACGGACTTGGTCGATTCTGAAAGCTCATTGGCGGGATGGAAGACGGGCGGGTCAAAGACTGGATTCTCCTTATTGTGGTGGGAGGCGACGGACGAGGGCTTCAGGGAATCTCCAGCGAGAGCGGATTTGGTCGAATCGGAGAGCTCGTTCAAGAAAGTGGCACTCTGGGGCTCAAAGCCGTGGCTCTTCTTCATATTTGCCGTGGTGTGAGCAGCGGGCTTGAGCGTGTCACCGCCCTGCGAAGGTTTGGTCGGCTCGGAGGACTCGTTCGTGGAGTAGGCGACCAGCGGCTCGAAGAATTGGTGATCGGCCTTGGCGTTCTTGTCCGGCTGGAAAACCAGCGGCTCGAAGAACTGGTTCTCACCCTTGAGATTCTGCGCCAAGGATGACAACTTGAACGAGTCGCCGGCCACCACATTGTTGTCTATGGGACGCAGCGTCCGCCCGACCAACCGCCACTCGCTGAACAGCTTGCCGACGTCTTCGTCCTCTTCTGCGGGCGCGATTCTCCTCTTGATCGAGCCTGGCCCGGACAGAGAACCAAGAAGCTCCTCCTTAGCTTCTCCCATGACTCGCAACATCTTCTTCAACCCTTGTAACTCCGTTGCTAGAGTACAGTTGAGAAAAATGGAGTCGGCTTCCTGTCGGAAATCTCGATCACCAGGAACTGGAGGTCCGTGCTCATGTCGCGGAGACTTGCCTGCACGAACACAGGAATGCGGAGAAGACCGATCATTCGCAGCCCTCGAAGCTACCAAGGATGTAGATTTCTCGTAACAGTGATCAGTAAGCTGCATTTGAGACAGGCAGGACATAATGACAGGGTCCGGTACATCATCATGGCCAATAATTCGAAGCTCTTCAGGCAACTCTCCTAGAATGAAGCAACCTGCCATTCTGAGAAAAAAAGAAATGGAAAAAGAGATTTGAAGGAACAGCTCTCATAGCTCTTGCGACCGGACGAAAGACCTGGAGAGGAGGAAGTCCACGCAGCCGTGACATCAAGCAGGAAGCGACAGACCGAGGACTCCGAAAGATGGACGTCTACGGCAATCCTGAGGCAGACAGCTCCAGGCCACAGCCAGCACTAGTGCCATTCGGGCCTGGAGGCTTCACCGAGTAGTTGCTCGGCGGCATTGCATTTGCGAGAACCAGGAAGAATTGAACAGAAAGGCAGACATCCAGACAGACGCGCAAGCAGACAGGCCCGACCGGACCAGACGCGAATCTTGCAAGCAGCAGGCGGAAAATGTAACGAGCGACTCTTCTACCAAGGACACGAGCGGCACGGCACGGAATGGAACGGAATACGGAATACGGAATAGATTTTTGATCAAATGACGAGCGGAAAACACAATAAGTGTAGTAGAGGAATCAGACCGTCGTTATGTACACACAGTAATGTATATACTTCGAGCAGATCGTCAATTTATTCTACACACGTCAGCTCCGTGAACCATATATATCACACAACTCGTCATTCCACTCAATTGCAGGACCTACTTCAATTGAGCCGCAATCAAGACGAGAATAATCTCCGCATGATCAAATCAGCACGGGATCCTAAGCGCAAGCAGGCCAGGCACAAAGAGATCGCAGCAGCCAAGGATGGGGAGCAAAATTTAGACAAGAAGAAGAAGAAGCAGATCCGCACGCCAGCAGCTCAAGAAGAAGCAGCGCAAGAAGCAGCGGCAGCAGCATCAGCATCAGCAGCAAGAGCCTCAGAGCAGGCCCAGCTCACCCGCTGCTCCTGCACGACAATCAACTCTGCCCCGCCCTGCCGACCCTGGCCCCCGCGCCCCCGCGCCTACGTGGCCCCCCCCCGACCCTCGCGCCCTCCCCATCCCACCTGTCGTCTCCCCTCACGACTTCGCCATCCCCCACCCCCCTCCCCCCCGCTCCGCCTGCCGGAAGGCCGTATTACTGTTTCTCGCCTTTGCGCGCGTCCGCCTCGAATCGGAATGTCGCCCCAGCCTGGATTGCGTTCCACGCTTCAGTAAGTCCTTTTCACTTTTACCCTCTCTCTCTCTCTCTCTTTCTCTCTCTCTCTCTCTCTCTTAAACCTTCTTTTACCCCGTCCGCCTCGCCGTCCATGCACGCACTCACACGTGCGACTCCCGTCGACTTTCGCCCGCCCGCCGTCATGGCCGTCGGCATCCGGCCGGCCATTTCTTCACGTCCTTTGTAGTGGAGCATCTGCTTCGTCTCTCGTTCCGTCACTTCGTTCTTCCGCTGCCCCGGCCCGAATGGAACGAACGCCGGAACCAGAACAAAATCAAATCGACGAGTAATTCAGAGCAATTCCCGTTCTGACTCACGTAGGGTCCAGAGCAGAATTGATCCTCGACGTGATGAAAGACACCGTGCAATAAGCTTGAGTCCTCGTACAGACACGAGTTTGGTTTGTCTAAGAGGTTGATCTCTGTTCTGGTACTATCCTCTGGAGTTATGACATCGATAATTTTCATCCGGTTTTGTGAATTAAGATCATTCTATTTCCGTGTGTAATACGAGCATTCGGATGGAAGTGGTCCCGGTTGCGCCGGATGTCACGGTGAGGTCCGAGAAGCTCACTTACCCCGTTCGACGAAGTCCTACTTCCCAGTCATGCGACTCACTGGAAGGCCTTCATGGGGCGTGACGAGCAGCGGCGAGCGCGTTCTGCCACTCGTGCAGAACAATGTGCTCGCCCATGAAACGTTTAGGTGAGGGATGTGGTGGTGCTGGTGCTGGTGCTGCAGCTGGAGCTGGCCTTGTCCGAAAGATGGCCTACGACTACGAGATCAACAAATCACTAAATGCATACAGCACAGGCCAAACCTGAAGTGTTGTAATGCATGTGCCTGACATGGGGGCTGTGAATAGTCAGTCCCACATCGGACCACTAGTACTCTCCCCTTAAAGTGGGCCTCTTCGCCACTCCCAGGCTGGATGCAATTTATGCTCGAACTGAGAATGCCCCAGGCCTCCAACGCCCCCAACTACAATTTGTCATCCGAGTTATTAAACCCCTTCCCCAACATCAGGATGTCTCTCCTCCAGGCTGGCTGCCCGGCTAATACCGCCCTTTCTGACTTCAGACCTCCCATGAAAGTCGTATTCAATCTGAAGTTAAAATGTTGCTCCCAAGACCGATTTCCTCCTTTCATACTGTATCTTACTCGGTTTCAGAAGTAAAATCTACTCCTTTCCAGCTTCATCTCTTTGCCTCAGTCCGCTTACAAGGTGGGTCGGTGGTTATCTCACATATCATGGCCACCCACTATATCTACCCGGAAACCCAAAAAACCACTGCAGATTCAGGCTTAATTTTGCACTCGGATTCCGTCGACAATTTTAGAATATTTAAAACATTCATAAGGGTACCAAGTAATATACGAGAAAGCTTATGGTAAGTTCTGTGGACTTGGTTTACAAGATAAAGCTTCAAACATATCTCAAATTACAAATCCTTCTCTAGAATCGTGGAATCGTATAGAGAGTATCGAAGTAAAATACACAGAAAAGAAGAGTCAGAAACAAGAAAACGACACCTGAGCATGTCTATCAACTCGCGCAAAACAAAGACATGGAGAAAATGAAAAAATTGGGAAGCGAGGTAGCGCTCTGCTCAGCGTTTATGCCCAAGGTCCAGTTGATAATTCATTTGGCAATATTTTTTATGGAATAATCTACACTTCGTCCTTGCGGACAAGAAGAAAGGTGGAAGACCAGTATCATGTTGGAACACGAACTACAATGAATTATTAGATTTGTACGAAGTCACGCTAAGTTCATCAGGGTGAATGTTGTTGATGCAGTAAGATATTATTCCTAGTGCTACCCAAAAAAACTTGGAGGAAGGGAGCTTAGCCTTTTTACCGATGACATCACAGTCTAAAGTTGCAGCCATCTTGGCAAGGGAAAGTGGAATAAGCTCTAAGTTGGATTAGAATTTGTCTTTAAGCTTTCCTAGTCTTACGTACACACACAGAGCACGATATATTCCGTGGACATTTGCACCACAATCAATGTGCCTAGGAGGGTGTGGGTGGGGTCCCTGGCCAAACCTAAACCCTTGTAAGACATGCGCTTTATATAGGTGAAAATACAGACAAAATGGTCGGCTTGGCGATATAAGGTCCCACAAGATGTGGATCCAAATCAAGTGAAGACGGCTTGATAAACATGAAAATATATATTGCAACTCTGAACTATCTTCCAATATCAGCATTCAACAGTTTGGGAAGCTAGGATTTGACACAAATATATCTCAAATTCCCAACACCTGCTCCTTTACCGTGTCTCTTTAATAATTGGGATTGACGAGCGGGTATTACCTACTAGTCTGAATTGCTGCCTGATTTTCAATCCTCTAGACGCTGAGCCTGCGCTTATGTTTATTTCGCAGAAAATGTGAATGGTTGACTATTTGATGAGAATGATTACAAGCATGAACGAAAGGTCTTTGATTTCGGTTAGTGGGGATGTCTTTTAACAAGGATTGGGCGTCTACTTCATCACGAGGAGGGGAGCAGTTATTGGCGTAAAAAGAATGGAAGCTTTTGCTCTGAACAATGTACTCTTTTATCCAGACTCTTCCTGCTGGAAGTAATTTGTGTTACATATACATAGTCATCACCTGGAAGCAAAACTTTTCCTATTTGCTAAAATCAAACATAAAAATAGAGTGATCTTTCATCAAAGTCTATATTTTTCTAAGAAAAAAAACCCAGACTCCTATGGAAAAAAATAAGTAATCGAAGTTTAGAAATATCCCAAACGTGGTACCTTTGACTTTCTATCCTGGGCTCTTGCATAATCAGAATTGTATCTGATTTGATACCTACTAACCTTTGAGCCTACCGTGAGTACCAATGAGCTCAAAGTCTGTGATGTACTTGGATGATGATCCTTCGAGACTAGACCAAATTTGAACCTTGATGCAGCCGGCCATCATGAGTACTGACCACCCAAATTCTTCATGCCTAGTAACGAGCTCCGCAATTGCTGTTGCATAGTTTAATCACACATCAATTCGGAGACTTGGCTGAACGTAAAGATGTCATCCTTTGCCCAGTAGCCCCAGCGAGGAGAGAGTAGCGTGAAAGAACAGGGATTCCGATACAATCTCCTCCGATGATTTAGTGATAAATCAGGAAGCAAACTTGAGCTTACGTTATACCAATGACGGTCTATAAGTGAGTAGACACGTAGTGAGAGGGTGGAGAATAATTTATAACACGGGACAGGACTTAAAAAAGGTGAACGTGAACAAAAGGCTGGGTGCTAATGGATAAATCAAAGGATCAGACGTTCACTGGATGACGAAGTTTGGGCAAAAATGCCTTTCACATGCAAAGAATTGAGGGACAGAAATCCCCCGAATCTGTAGAACATGAACGAACGAATGTTCGATTGGTCGTTTCCAGCGCAAGTTTCATATTCTCTGCAAAGCAACAAGCGTGAGTATCTGGTGGAAGATTTGGCCATGCGCTGCTTGGAGAGCGGAGGGAAGAGCATTCTACGTATCCAGCTGCCCACTCATGTCTTGCCTCGTGAGGACATCCCATTTTCTAGACCCAGAGACGAACACCATGAGCATACTCACTGTAGGCTTCTTCCGAGAAGCAGCCACCTCCAGCGCCTGCTTTTCGGGAGTCCTATTGACCAGAGACTCCTCGACCTCTGCATGCTAAATCTCGATCTGAATTAACAACCAGCGACTCTCGCATGTGCCTGTTCACCTGGGCCCAACAACCAACAGGTAGACATGGAGCGTGAAATTGATGTATTAAAGCTCTAGCACATAGAGCAATCTTCCAATCGTTTGCTGGTTCCATGTGCAATGCATAACCGCAAGCCACCCGCCACTGTTCGTTCTGACAAAACGACGTCCAACGAAACAACAGGTGGTAATTCTAATTGCGCTAATTCTTATTTCTCAAATTGATTCGGAGCTCCGAGAGAAATGCTGAAGTCCAGAACCTCTGAGACCGCTCGCTAGCTCAGGCCATGTGCTGTGGAGACGCAGAATCACGGACATAGCGCTCTTGCTCCCTGTTATATTCCTCTCCCTCATTAGTCAGAGCGTTTTTTCCTCTCCATCATCGTGACCGGGATAAGTTCTGGAACTGGTGTGCTCGATGTGCGTGGGCTCTAGAAACTCCTCTCAAGTAAGAGACGAACTCCACGTCCTTCGAAGACACGGGTCAGGACAACTCCACCACCATGGGTGTCCGATTAGTTCCCCAACTTGTCCAGTCATTAATTCCACATACACCTTGATAGCAAGGTCCGGCACCATTTCATCAACCCTCGTGTGCACTGGAAGTGTGCCCATCTGATTGAGGGTCAGGACATCACAACGAAAACTTTCAGCAACGATCGCGCACTGTGCTGATGACGCACGCACTCACTGGCCGATCATCATCCGCTTTTCGGTGCGTTTGACCGATCGAGGAATCACATTTTTCCACCGCCACGAATCCACGCGATTCTTTTTCTGGTACGTGTCAAAACTCTTCTCGGCGTGTCGTCCTTGGGTGGTGCGGGCTGAGATGGACTCTCATAATAGTGGCGGAGAAGTATCAATCAATCAAGGAGGAAGGCCTGCGTTGAGCAGGCACGAGGAACGAAAATCCAAGCATGGCCCACACAGAATCGACTGAAGTGAGAAACGCTTCACCCTTCCATCCAACAGCAACAGGATGTAATCTCATCCTCGGCTTTATGCGCGATCAAATCCAACTCTCTGCATCCACTCCTAGTCAGGTCGTATGCTCTTTCCGGCATTGAGAGATGATACGTAATCTCTCAATAAGTGTCCTGTTAAGCCCGGAGATTTTCAGCGAATCTCGAATTCGATCGAGCACGTTTTCATGGTACGAGATTCGAGGAAAGAAATGGAAACGAGGTACTCAACTCTCAACAGCATCCATTCATGCACAACCACGAGCGAGATTCCGTCCAAACATCCATATCCAGCGCAATATCCACACTGGGTGGACGAATAGGGCAGTGTCACAACTTTCCAAGTTCCACCATTCGCAATTCGGCTTTCACTTTCACGTGGACTTCACCAATTGAGAGAGAACACATGCGCGGCGGCGCAGCTGAGAGATGAAACAAAATTCGAAGAAAAAGGCACGATGGTGGTGGTGATAATACAAGAAGTATACACTAAATTGCTTATAAGTGCCCTAGGAAATTCTCCCAGGAAATGCACGCAGTACAACAAGATCAAAGCTGAAATTGCAGGGATTGCAACAATTAAGTTACTTATGTCTTCGTCAGCAAGACGTCCGCGAGTCAGTCCTCCACGAGAAGGACCTCCGTCGTGGAGTCAACTGATGGCAAGGGCAGGAAGGTTGCTCGTCGCTGATCAGCGCGCAGAGCAGCAAATGACACAGGTAGTCATTTCCGAGTGAGTCGAGCAAAACTACCTCGAATTACACAAACAGAACGAATGACGCTGTACAATCTTCAGTTCTGTATCGATTCGATCGATTCTTTCTACGAGCGCTCCGAAGCGAGGAGCTGCGCTTCTTCTTCTTCTTCCACACAAATTGGCGTTCTACTTCACCGTCGAGCCTGAGCGGATGCCCACACCATTTGCCAGCGTGCGAAGCCCTTTGACGAGCGACATGGAATTGTTGTTACCTGAGCTCGAGGGAAACTTGCCGGTCGAGTTGGAGCCACTCAAGTTGCCCAGCTTCGAAGCGGCCTTCGAGTGCAGAGGAAGCGAATTCGGAGTCGACAAGTGATTCTCTATGGGCCGGAACGGAGTGCTCGCCACGACCTTGCTCGGGGCCGTGGCGAGCAGAGTGGGCGTCGTCGCCGGAGGACGCAGAGATGCCAGGCGGCTGCTCTGGCTGCTGCTGCCGGGGCCGTCGGGCAGCGACGACACCCGCAAATCGCATTCCAGATCCCTCTCCACAGGAGCTCCGCCCGCGTCCTGCAATCGAGCACCACATTGCACCGATCAGCATCGATTCAAATCGATCCAATTCGATTCATCGTCACTTCACAAGGCATCGAAGGCTCGAGGGCGGCCTCGAGCACACGACCCAACATTCGACAAGGCAACGAAGAGGACCGAACGCTTACCCCGAGCATGAGGAAGTTGAAGCCATGTTTACTGGTGGTGGCAATGTGGGGCAGAATTTCTCGTCGCAGCTCGGCCAGTGTGGAGCCCTTGGCCACTTTCAGCACGCAGATCATCTTGCCCGACGAGTCCTTGGACGACTCCCACTTCACGTACACATCGCACTGCATGATGGCGTCCGGGTTGTTGATGGCGGGCACATTCTCGTCCCCTGCTACCACCACGATGCTCGTCGGGACGTTCTCGTTGGCATAGCCTCCGAGGTGGTACGCGGGCGACGCTGGCGCTGGCGCTGCTGCCAGTCGCGACGCAATCGGGGACGTCTCCTGGTAGTCGAGCTTGGGCGTCAATCCGATCGATTTCGGTTGCGAGAAGAGGCTGCCGTTCCTGAATTTTCGATGCCGTGCAGGGGAATCGGATTTCTGAGGAGAAGGTAAGACTGGGAGAGGCGATGCCAAATAGGAGCTGAGGTTCTCATGAGACAGGAGATCTTCATCGTAGCTTCTGGTCGCTCGGTGGGTCGGCCTCGCGGGGCTGTAGTAGCCATCGGCCTCCAGGCACAGGTGCGACTGGTTCTCTCGGAAGGAGTGCGATAAAGGACTGGACATGGGCGACAAGAGTCTGGGCTGCTGTGGTGGTGAGAATGGCGAGACCGAATCCTGAAGCGAGTACAATTCTCGGACGATATTGCCTGTCGGCTTCTGATGATCGGGACTCGCCCTGCGCGATCCGGGGCTCTGAGAACACATTGGAGATTCGCCTTCTCCCGGAGTGGTGCGTGATTTCACCTCTCTGCTGTGCCCACAGAGCATGAAAATGTTCTCGATTCTGGCTTTCCGGGCCGATATGGCTTCGACGGTCTCAGGCTCCTCGCGTCCTGACGGTCCGGGCATTTCTCGATCTGATGCGTTTCGTGGAGTCAGCCTGCCGATCAAAGCATCGACCTCGCTTGGTTCTTCCTTTTTGGGGGATTCCGGCTCCTGGTCGAAGTAGCTCAGAGGTCGAACTCCTCCTCCAGCTTCCAGGCGCCTTTCGAAAGCGTTGGGTTCCTCTTCTTCCTGGATTGACGAGATCGCGAGAAATTTGTCTCGGTACAAATTCTGGGAAGATAGATTCTCCGCTGCCGACGCAGTGCCATTGAGGCTGTTTGCTGTGAAGCTGGGAATGAATCTCTGAGCGGCATTGCTGTCGGTAAACCTGGGGCAGCTAGCAAAAGGCCTGCCGGCAGAATTGTCTTCGCCTTCATCCTCCTGCTCTTCGTGGATTATGGGAAGCCAACCCTTCCTGTGCAACTTCGCTTCACTCCAGGTACCGAGGCCAAGGGGATCCTTTTCGACTTGGAGAACCATTTCCTCATCCTCCTGATCTTCAGGTGAGGAATCACACACCATGCTCTCAGGCTCTGTCTGCATCTCGTTACTAGGAGGCGTGACAGCCGAAGCGTAATTGAACGCAGTGGGCCAGCTTTGCTGAGTATCTCCTTGGATGGGACTCTCTCTGACTACTACTTCTTCTAGAGGAGAATTTTTCATGGTTTTGGAAACTTGTTCTTCTTCCCTCCTGTTCAGAAGATCTCTCAGAGTCGACGACTGTTCCTTTCTCTTTCTTTCTCCACCGCTTGTATGTTGCACAGGAATTTCCTTCAGCTTGCTACCGTTCTCTTCCTGACTCGGGGTAGATTTCTTGGTCGAAGAAACTTGCTCCTGCGAATCACTGTTGCTCCTGAAGAATGAAAGCACAGAGGAAGAAAATTTCTTCGTGACGGGAGTGGTAAATTTACCATTTTCGGTCTTGGGACTCGAAGCTACAAGTCCCATGGTGTCTGTATCAGAGACTTGAGTCCTGTCCGGGAAACTTTTGGTTTTTTCGAGTCGATTCCGGGGCGACTCCACCTTAATGTGTTTGATTGAACGTCCTCCAGAATCTTTGGATTCAGATTTCAAGCTGTTGTAAGACTTCCTGAGCTCTCTCAACTCTGCCTCAGCCTTGTCAGCGCGTGAACGCTGAAATTCCAGCTCTTTCTGCTTCAGGTCCAGTTGCCGTTCCAACTCCTCAAGCCTCAGTTTCGTATCTAGAAAATCACGAGAGATATCATCCTTCTTACTGCTCAGCTGGCTCTCGATATCCTCCACTCTTTTTTTCAGGTCCGTGACCTCCTTCTGCTTGGCTTCCTTCTCTCGCTCTGATTTCTCCTTCTCTCGTCTGAGAGTTTCTATGCTGATATCCTTCTGGGCTATTCTTGCTTGCATAGTCGCCAGTGTTTTCACATCCGCTTCAGGTATTTTCTCCTTCGCTGGAGAATTAGGGAGGCGGACTATGGTCTTGGCCTTCGCACCGTACTCGAAAGTTCCCATCGTCTTGTACAAATCCCTCGGGCATGGGCTTGCGCACAGGATCATCAAAATCTTGGCATTCACTGTTTCAAAAGAATCCTGCAGCAAAACCATAACCATTAGGAAATGGCGACTGTGAAACCAACAATTCATTACGAGCAGCCTCAGGTTCACGCACCTTCCAAGACCTCCCGTAAGGATTACAAGCATTTATGCCGCACACTATTTTAGAATGCTATCAGTTCATGAAAACGTTGTCAATACCTGGAGGAGCATAGTAAGCTTGCTGTCTCTGTAGGGTATGTGATCACTCTGGGCCGCTATAGCCTCCACGACTCGTTTCAAGGCTCCGTTTCCTTGATTAATTTTACCCGTCTGAAACCACAACGACGACCAAGTATCATGAGCTTCCTGAACCGAGCATTGAAGTTTGTATGGAGCTCTCGGCGGCACGAAGAGAAGAAGGAAAGACGAAAGACGGATGACGAAAAGTAAGAAGGGGGATCAAAACCTGCATTCTGGCGTCCATGCCGATACCAGCTTGCTCTATGTTTTCAGACCCAGCCATGTCCACCAAAACCAACCGACCTCCAACTGCTGGGACCTCGAAGGTAACCTGCATAACGGTACATAAACGTCAAGTCGTAATCGTTAAGATCAAAGCAGCCAACGTCAGCTTCACATTCAAGTCACATCATAAGTAAACGTGTTGAGACGCAGCCCGTACCACACAGTGACTGCGGGAACTACGATCGTTGCAGTTGGTATTTTTCGTGACTCTCCTCTTCTCCACTTTTTGAATTTCCTTGACGAGTCTGTTGGCATCGGTATCCTCTTGAGTTGTCGAATTCACAACTCTGTGCCCTCGCATTACAAGCTTTACCTGCGTTCGCCAACACCGACATTGTCAACAGAATGCAACTGGCCAGAGTTTAGAAGGTAGAGCATACAGTGTCAGAGCGCATTCACTACTCTAGGTGTAGTTATTGAGGTATTAGAGTATCCAGTGGGAGGTAACGATAGCTTGCCAGAGCAGAAAGAAATGGTGCAGATCGACATCCATCGATGCAGAAAGGATTGGCTGTGAATGGTGAGAACACCCACCCTGTTGGATGCTCCTTTCATTGATCCTGGTGGGTTGGTTGTTTGAGCTAGGAGATCAAATATCTCCTCGTTGAAAATCTCCCAAACGGACGCTCTGACCGTGACCTCGCGAGAGGAACTACTTTCCCCGGGCTCCATACCCATGATTTGGCGAAGAGCGTGGTATGCAACTCCTCGCTCACGCTGGGACCCAAACATGGTGTGGCTCTTTCCGGCTCCTGTCGGACCGTACATCATTATGGTGCATTTTCCTCCACCCTTCACATCATCAACCCGAGCCTCAGCATACTTTTTGTAGAAAGCCTCTAAGCTTTCATCCTCTGCTCTTGAAACGCCATCCAGCGAGAAGTCTCTGTACTGCAAGTGATCTGCCTGCCTGATTCGCAAGTCTCGTCCATTCGGTAAAACCTGAATTGCTGATGGCTCGTCTCTGCCATCCGGATGCTCACGGATCCTCCCCACAACCTCCACAGGGTGCGAGCTCCCTCCTCCACCTCCTCCGAGCTGCTGCATTGGAGTCGGGGTAGCAGAGGCGACATTGGATAACGTAAGCCCCGTAACACGGGGCGTGCTCGGCGTCCTTGTCGCCATCGGATCAGTAGTGAAGTATCAATTACACTCTGTCAGCATCAGCTGCTCCCCTCCTTCATTTAACATGCTCGTCGTTTTGAGTAATATTTGTATCCATGATACCACGACATGTCTAGCTCTCCCGGATACAAACTCCAGTCATGGCTACTTTCAGTTCGCACCACAAAGCAGCTGCCACGGGCAGAAAATCCGAGTTAGAGTGTCATACCATGACAGACGAACAAATCACCAAACGGGGGACACTGTTGCGGAATGAATGGTTTAATGTTGCTGCAAGAAAAAAGCTTTACCAGCTTTCAAGGCATCTCTCAAAACGATCATCACTCATCATCCAGGTCCCTTGTTAGTGCATCACTCAAAATGGTTACCGTACATTAATATGGTACCATTCTCAGGATACAGAAAGCTCAAATATCCGATTCTATCTTTCCTTCAAACCCTTTTGAAGCCACTGTCAATGGTGTTAGAGTGGAAGAAAAAAAATGCAGAAAGAGATGACTTTGCGTCTCGCTCACTAACTTGTGATTTGCTCATGCACACTACAGCTCAGAAGGATGTTCGAACCCAGGATACAGCAGATTCTCTCAAAGAAATAAGCACTCGCTCTTGCAGTACATGACAGAAGGAGCAAGCCTAGTGATCATCGTCACAACCTCATAAAAACTACCCGACGGAAAAATACGAGAACAAGAAAAGCTCAGACCGCGAATGCCTAGAAATCGAGCTGCTGCACATCTAACTCAGCGTTTGCAACCTCATCGTTCTAAGAGAAGAGTTCTATCGACATCTCCGCTCACCGGTGGCTTGATATCTTGGAGCACAAATTCGACGGGCAGCACAGAAAGCGCTGTTCTCAGCAGTCGAACGGGGCAATCACGTCGACGAACGGTAACACCAGTCAATTCCGCGAAAGACTGAATACGTGAGAGAATTTCACTAGTTGACGATGAAGCAACGATCGGTCAGGGCAGGTGAAGTAGTAGTAGTAGTAGTAGTAGTAGTAATACTCGACGATCGAAGCGCAGAAGAAGTACGACGGAAAGAGAAAAATTTTAACGGTGGCGCAAGAGAACAAATTACTGGCACGCTAGGAGCCGAGGAAAGTGAAGAAGAAATCCGAAATGCCGTTCGCTCTGCACTCACTCTCATGTCCCGATTCACGCCCGATGCACACGACGAGAGCAGCTCCGCCAGTCACGGACGTCAGTCGACGAGCGCTCGCTCAGTCCACCACAAGGCCCCAGCGGAGGCCCAAAGAGCCGTTGGGCTCCCTCTGGCAGGCCCCACAGAGTTTGAATTCGAACGGGGAGAGAGAATGAGCTTGCGCATTAGAACCGTCTTGTTGATGCCGAGGCGCCCTCCCCCTGCCCCTGCAACCGCCACGGCTACCCGGAATTAAGTGTGATTGCGGGGCAGATTATGGCCTTAATCAGGATTAGTATCAAGTGTCAGGGCTAATGTGACATAACGGTATCCTGTCCCGGACAAGACTCGCTTTTCGCCTGACCTACGGTCCTCCCCGACCGACTGGAAGATCTCCCCACGCTCTCTAGGCATAGACTGGTCTATTCGCTTCGGCCAGACCTTGCGCCGTAATGAAACCCGACGCTCTTTCTGCTGGCCGGTACATTTGTACACGACTGACACGTGGTCCAAAGCCGCAGACTCTTTGCGTGGGTGCTTACTTTCACGTACCTATATCACCTACACTTCGTATACTGTACATGGACCCGTTTGATCATTTCCATTCCAGTACCCTCCCGCTTAGCTACACACTATGTTTTTAGAAAACTTCATTTAATTCAACATGTCATGAATTTATATTTGGCACCAGTTTTAAAGATTTTCTAGTTTTCATTCCAAAGTTAATTTGAAACTAATGAAGTAAGTTCTTATGATCATCCAATTTTTCTTCAAACTCTTTAACTTCGGAGGAGAGCAACGAAAATTCTATGTCAACAACTTGTTTAACTCTTGAGAGATGCTATTCTTATCATCATCATTCAAATTTTCTTCAACAATCTTCATCTCTTTCAAAAGTTGTCTTTGGAAGACCTTGAACAACTTTTGAATCGTCTACTCTGACATGAACAAATTCTTAAACCTCTTCTTGCCCAGTAGAAAAATTTGAAACAGATAGTTTGTGCAACTTTGATTATTAAATCTTCCATATTGTTCATTGATTACTCATTGGCTTCTCATGTCATTACTTTTGTATTCAATAATATATTCTTTATATAGATCACCATTAGATGACATGGATTGTCAATCTTCTTTTACATAATTTGCAACATCAAGCAAATGGATTGAATTTCTTCATTCAATTGCAGCAACATCGAAGCGTAATCTCCACCTTATCGTTTATTCTATACCTTTTAAATAGCTTTTTCACTAACATCTCATTAGCATCCTTATAACTGGTTAGAATATTATTCTTTGTGAATACTTGCTTACGGTCTAAAAACGCAATACTTCTAGGTTCAAGTTGCATATTTAGGCAAGAGACTATTGGACTCATGACAATCAATTATACAATATATTTTATGTGTCCAATGGTCTAGTATTGAACATAAAAGTCTTTACAATGTATATACATTCATGTATAATTTCCATCAAGACTTAGTCAACTAGTCTTCGGTGTTCGTTTGTGAATATAACATTAGTATTAGAGAAACACTTGTTTTAGTGACTTTATTTCCGTTCTAAATGTGGAACATGTTTAATCATCATTGAGATGATGTTTGTGATTGAAAGACATTTGTCATGACACTTGAAGTCAGTTTATTGAGCAGATTTTTAACTAGATTGCAAGTGAAGATGATTCAACTTATTCAGGTTTGAAGAAATTCCATTTTTTTTCCTAGCAATGAAATTATATGTAATCCTTATAGCACATTACAACACATGCAAGAGTGTTTCATAGTAGAGTATGTTGGATGCATATTCAATTGTTTTTTGTTAGCTTGATATTATGTTTGTAAAGAAAATTTTTAATTGTGTGTTTTTTTTTTAAGTGAGAAGTAATTTACCATGTCTCTCAACTAATTATTCATTTATACACTTTCCTATAAGGTGATGAATAAAACCATTACTTATTTATTTTCATGTTTGTAAATTTTTTTTTTAAATTAAGAAGAAGTTGTATAATAAAGTTTCTTTGATAGCAAAAGTTACGGTTATACAGTGATGTGCAATTAATATTTATATATGATATTTTTTATAATATGTTTATTTATATCTAGATATTTTTATATTTTCTATATATTAAAAAATTCATAGAATTGAATTGGAATCTAAAACAAAATACAAATTTAATTTTCTAACATCAATTTAATCTTTTTTGAATTTTTTATGCAATTTTTGTCTTCTATTATGATTAATCTATATTTTAAATTCTTGTAACAAGATTTATGTTGATTTGATTTCATAATGTTTTAACAAGCTTTCATTTGATATATCGATTGCATGATAAAAATTATGATAAGATCTTTAAGTTAATTGTTGAGGTAATTCAAATCAAAATTTGCATACTTTTTATCTACCAACGATTGCATTTTTATTTTAATTTTGACTTTGATATCATTTGGAATTATTTTTATCACTGCCATCTTATAAGTTACATCATGCCTAATAAAATTTGCCAAATGCCAGGTTTGCCAAAATTAAATAAATTCTGGAAAAATAATTATGTTAATTTTGACATTGGCTACAATCAAGATAATCCTATTCTTAAAACTTCTGATGTGTGTTTTGATCGGAGTGAAATCAACTCGAGTGTTCTTCAATCTTTGCAATTCAAACCCCATGTGACAAAATGAACTAAAAAATATTAAACAAATAGTTAATCTCATAAACAAAGATGAATTTGTAGAAAAAGTTAATTACAATATAAATAGAAAGCAGTTAAATAATTACATTTTCATTTCACTATATATTTATACTATGTTTTGGCAATAATTGTTTTGAGAGTTTTGAATTACTTTGCATGAATAAAGGAAAAGCTTGTTAGACTAGTGCGACAATTGTATTTCTTTGCACTTCCTATTTGTCCAAATAGCGTCACACAATGCCCGATCACATTACTATATATTATTCCATGTTTGTCCACATTTCACTCTTGATTTGTCTAAACTGGACTCGCGAGCTCTGTTTTGGTATCACACACGCTTTTCATCTGCCAACTACTTCATGATGAAAAGCGTCAAAATCATCTAGGAGTCAAAAAATTTTAATCTAATTTTCTTCTCAACTCAATGACTTTTCCTTCGAGCTTTCAAATGCTTTGCAACTATGGAGTTGCTTGTGTCTTGTCGTCTTAGCACATTGGCCAAATTAACTCTTGAATAAATAAATAGAACGTCAGATTTTATGAGACCTGAGATATATTGATCCAAACCAAAATTTTGACTATTTGTTTCTAACCCACACTTATTTTATATTGATCTTTATCACCGGTGTGAACATATATTAACGGGCTATTCTTGCATTATGTTATTTAATTATCGTCTATTATATTTCATACAAAATTTTAGTATTATATATATTTTACATAGTATTTTTATTAAAATTTATATAAAAATTTATGATGCATACAATTTCTAAAAAAATTAAGGTGAAATTTTAGTTGTATAATATTCATTATTGTGCAAAAAAACAAAAAATTGAATACAAAATCACTATTTAGATAAAAATTTTCATATCTTTTCAAAAAATGTTGATTGAAAATGTAGATGAGAAAATAATTAAAGCTAATAAATTGTTAAATATTTATTAAGTGCAGACCACCTCGCTGGATTGTAATTCTTCTACATTATGGGGGTTAACATCAATGTTGGTGTCATTAAAGGCTTTGGTGTATCATTTGCATGCGTGATAATCAAAATAGTTGAATTTTTTTTGTTGATGATTGATATGTGCAAAATTTTTTTAAAATTTTTTTTAAACTAAAATTTTCAATTTTTTTAAGTTTTCAAATAAATCTTTAAATTATTTATCCATACTTGTATGATGGAGAAAAAAAATATATCTATATATAATATATTTACATGATTTTCATTTAAAAGCGTGTGAATTATAAGCTTAACTTGATAATAAATATATATAATAAGAGACATAAATGTGGAAATTTGTATATATCTTTTAAATTGATGTATTCATTAGATTAATAACAAAATTACATGTTGTATCAAAAAATTTCTATTTTTTGATATTTTTTTAACACATTTATTTTATACATTTTATTCTTAACCAAAATAAGGTTATGCATTTGATGATCAATTGAGTTGATTATTTTTGATAAAAATCAAATTTAGTATTTGATGATTGTAACATATGATAGTTTTATTTTTGTATTTCTATAAATATTAATATGCTTTGTGATGGGTTTGATATTTTTTTTTAATGATAAAATTTGATATATGTTAAAAATTTAGAAAACTATATTTATTTTATAAAACTTTTATTTCCATTTTTAATAAAGAAATAAAGCAATTGAAGATCAAGTATGTGATTTCATATTATTTTAGTAAAAAATATATTTGATATGTTAAAAATGAATATCTTTCAACATACAAAATCTGAAAATTCTAACATATCATTCCATTTGTTAAACATGTGTTCACTGTCACAAGTGTGTTTGTGATTATTGATTTTGAACAAACAATTGGTATCATAGCAAACTTTTGGTTCAAAGTCTCACATGATTTCGGTTTGGATTCTGTGATAGAGCTGTGGTTTGTGAAAGTGGTTTGAAATATGAGTGTTTTCAGTGTTTTGGTTTGGTGTTTGTTCCTTACAATTTATGATACAATTTTTTTGACAATGTTTGGGTGCTCAAAATTTGACTTATAGTACTCTCAAATTTTGATTGAACAACATTGTTTGTTTTTTTAAGTTAGTGACAATTTTTTTAAAGAAGTCAAGTTCAAATTTTGAGAAATGTGAGTTCAATATTCAAGAACCAAAACATGAAATAAAGAGAATTGCAAAGAGCACATAGAATTTTCTTGCCCATTGGAATTTGAGTACATTGACAATGTAGTGGGCAAGTAATGCAATAAACAAAAGACGTTGTTGCTATTTTGTGCTCTTCATGCACGTTGGCGGAAGTCAATGTGTACAAGAGTTGAGCTCCGCGCGCTCTATGGCTGATGTTGCGCGGATTTACATCAATTGGGTGAGGGAATTATTTAAGCCTTTGAATCATGCATAAGAAGCAAGCAAAGTTGAAAATGACGTGATAATGCGTTTAGGTGAAGATCAAAGCGAAAGAAACACGGAATGAAAAAAAGCCCGCTATGC